AGAGATGAGTGGCAGGTATTTACTTCCTGTCTCTCTCCCTGCAGGTCACCAGATGAGCTGCATTCCTTGACTGGAGGCCACACCTCAAGGTAGCCCTCTCTACAAGGCTCTCTTCTTCTGAGTTCAGGTAATTACACTCTCTCCATGCCTCCTCAGGTATAGGAGTAATAATACTCCTACGATTACTTGTGCTGGAGAACTACACTCTCCCTGGTGGTTTTTCTCTAATTGTATACATCTTTATAAATAGTCCTTATATTAAAAATAAAAATGAGTGCTTTCTGAATGTCTCAGTATAAATTCCTCTAGCATGCATATACTTTAAAAGGTTCAATATTACTAGAAGTCTTATTGTGAAATACATAAGTCTTCTATCCCCTAATTCCTCAAATTATCTTGTCTAGATGCCACCAAAATTAACATTTTAACTGTTTCCTTCTTGGATTTACAGATCTCTATTTTCCTAAATAATATGTATAACTGCTATTATTGATTAATCAATTAAGATATTATCCACTTACTTTCCATCATGTTAATTAGTTAACTGTTTTACACCACCATCACCCAGTACTCCTTATCCTTCCAAAATAATTATGTTCCAGCTTTTGTTTAAATCAACATTTATTGTTTATGTCATTTTCCTATGAAAGTATTATACACAGCATTGTTGTGAGCTATGATTCTATTTCCATTCTTTACTGGTTGCTAATAATTGCCTAAAAAGGCAAACTTTAAAAAGAAAAACTTTAATGTGCCTAAGTTCCTTCGCATCCATTGGTAATTGCTAATTATTCCTTAACTGCCAAATAGCTTTCAGTAGAGCTTTCCACACGATCAATCAAATCAGGTAATATATCAGTTCAAATATTTTTCTTGAAGCTATTTTTCCAGTTGACCTCTACTTGCTTGCAGTCTGAACTGGTTGCTCTGTGGACCTGCTGCACAGCTGTCATCTGAATCTTCTCTTTGCTTACCTGTTTATAATCTATTTTTTGTTCGTTTAATTGCTCCACTGTTTTAGTGGAGAGTGTTCTCAAGGGTTTTTTGTTTTTATTTTTTTAGGTTATAAAATTAACTCAAAGTCTGAGGTAATGGTGAAGAGAGCCTTCAGTATGCTTATCTGTTATGTTAGACTTTCCCAACTTACATCGGTTGCCCCATACATAATTCTTAGTATTTTTACCTCTCATTTTTGAAAGTCTGTTTTTTTCAGTCCTGCCAGCAGGGTAAAGCCCTAACTGGCAGAGATCTGAGAGTAAGGTGAAGAAAAAGAGCTAGGCATTTCGGCCTTCAGCGTTCCTATACACCAAAATGCTTAACCTCTCCCATTCTCACTATGGTACTCAGATCCTCATCTGTAACAATCTAACCCCATTCTTTATTTTCTTTGAAGAATAAATCTCCAGATTTCTTCCTGGGCAGTGGAAGGCCAAACAGTCAGTATATATAAGTGCCAAGCAGTCAGTATATATAAGTGCAGAGAATTTAGGAATCTAAATTTTAGACAATCTGCTTTAAGTTTCCCTTTAGCCTCCAGTACATAGCGCTCTCAGTTCCAGAGCTTTTTGAAGAATCTTTGGTATAAATCAGGTTGTTTCTGTGAAGTCTATTACTATTTGTCCACCTGTTTTTCGGCTTTAATGTTTCTTGCTTTTCACTTCTTTTGTGTTCTTCCCATAGTTGTGCTTTAAAAAGTCTTTTTGCTATAGTATCAGTGAGTTTTCGGAGGACATACAATAAAATATGTAATTTCTATCTCAATAATATCTTAATTTAATACGGATAATGTTTGTTATAGAAACTCCATGTAATTTCTAACCCATATAAAAATTTTAAGTTGAACTGAATCAAGCTAGCAATGCTTCAAGTTATTCCAAAATTTGATGACTATTGGAAAGCAGACTATGACTTAAAAGCATACTCTTCAAACGAGTACATATTGTTTCAAGTGATCTTACTTTACTTTACCAGTGGTCCCATGGCAAGGGGAGGTTTAAAAAGAAAAGTATGCAATCCATTATTCTTTGGTAAAACACTTCATTTCTGATGGCAGATTTCCAAAGCACCAAAAAAAATGACCAAAACTATGAGAAACATCCGACAGTAGAAACCGACCCTCCTGGAATCCACACAATGGTAGTCCAACAAAGTGATTCAAAATTAGCTGCACTTAATATAGTCAAAGGAAATGACACACAAAATTAAGAATTTTGACTCAAAAAAAAAAACCCCACCTGAAACTAGAAAAAGAAAATATAAACTTTAAAACAAAAATTTAAAAAATAATTTAAGAATGTAATGGATGGGTTTTAAAAGAAATTAGCAAAAAGAGAATTAATAAACTGGTAAGCTGAAAATATCCAGAATAAAAAGTTTATTAAAGGAAAACACAATCAAGAAGTTGAGAAGGTATAACACATTGACAGTTACAGCCAAGAAGGCAAGGAGAGAAAAGATTGGAAAGAAGCCACATTTGAAAAGATAGTAACTGGAAATTGATCTGAATATTCAAAAAGCCCTACTACAACCAAGGTGGATAAATACAAAGACCACACTTAGACATATCTGGTAGCCAGCCTCCAAGATGTCCTCCCAGTGATCCCTGTGGGGATATGATACTTGGGGAATCAGTTCAAGTGATGTTATCTGGCTACTGATATTGTGGTGAATAATAAACTCTCCTTTGTCTCTCACCCAGGAGTCTCATACCTTCTGCCAGTATCCATGAAACCGTAGTAGGCTAACTTCTTAGCTTAGAGTAATTATGATTTCTTTTTAGTGGTTTGAATAATTAAGTTCTAGTCTCTTAGCAAGTTTGATGATTATAATACAATAATGTTGTCTAGATCGTTTATTTTTATTTTTTATTTTTTTATTTTATTTTATTTTTTTTAAAGAAGATGTTGGGGGTAGTAGTTTATTAATTAATTAATTTATTTTTGCTGTGTTGGGTCTTCGTTTCTGTGCGAGGGCTTTCTCTAGTTGTGGCAAGCGGGAGCCAGTCTTCATCGCAGTGCGCGTGCCTCTCAGTATCGCGGCCTTTCGTTGAGGAGCACAGGCTCCAGACGCACAGGCTCAGTAGTTGTGGCTCACGGGCCTAGTTGCTCCGTGGCATGTGGGATCCTCCCAGACCAGGGCTCGAACCTGTGTCCCCTGCATTAGCAGGCAGATTCTCAACCACTGCGCCACCAGGGAAGCCCTAGATCGGTTATTTTTAAAAGAAAATTGAAGTGGCCATTTCACTTTATAAAGGAAACTGATTTTTTTTTTTTTTGGTAGTGTCTTGACCATTTTGTCTGTGGATGATGGATCAGAAAATAGAACTTTATGGTTATGTCTGTGGATTTTTTTTTTTTTTGTCAATGACAGTCCACTATTCCAGATGGAGAACTGGGCAAAGCCATTTAAAAACTTTTTTTATTAAATCCTTTTTAGGCAAAGCCATTTCCCTCCACTTTAGTTCTTGTTCTCATAGACTAACTTCCTCCTTTCCCTATCCTCCCAAAGAAGCTCCTTCTTTGCCAAGCAAGAGTGGTCACTAAAACTTATTTAGACATTTTTGGTACTGTCTTCAAGTCTGTGCAGATCTTATATTCCCTTGGTTCTCTGGATTATTATTAATCTTTTAGTTATTAGAGTCCAAACTTATGATCTTTCCTTCATCAAAGACTTTGTTTGCATCCAAGACCAGAGCCAATTTTAGTCTCCTCCCCTGTGACCAGGTGCTGAGTTAGCCATATTCACATCTTAGCTTTCAAATGCATAATTTTAGCCTATTTAATTTTAAATGAATTTGCATTGCTCTGAAGTAAAAATTCTTAGAGACAAAATACTCTTAACAATGAGAAGTAAGGTTTCAAGTGGGGTTCTGCAGATAGAGTATATTAATGTCTCGAGTATGTTAAGGAAAAAGAAACAACTGCTCTCCAAGTGATAAGGCGTTGTGGTGAAACTAGCCCAGGGTTCCAGAGCCCAGGGCAGCTGTGCCTTGTCCAAACTGAGGAGATGCTGACCGACCTCCTGCAGGAGCCATCATTGGCCCTTTCTTGATTTCCCCTAAATTCTGCACGGTGCCGTTCTTCTCCAAGCGATTCCTAGCATTCTGTTCTTTTTCCAATTTTCTGCCACAGAACTGTAGACATTGTGTTGTCATCCTAGTACAGAAGCCAGGACCATTACTTCCACGGCTGGGTTCACATCCTGTTACCACACATTTTTCTTCCGGGAAAGGATCACCAGCATCTTCTCCTATGAATCAGTTACTTTTACTCATAATTATGGTTTCCTAAGGAATGCACAGAAGTGACATAAGAAAGAGTTATGGCCTGAAACGTTGGCATTATTAGAATGAACTCCCCAAAACTAAGCAAAGCATTCAAGCAAAAAAAAAAATTTTTTTTTTCTCATTGTGACAGACCACATTTCTTATGAATGTCCTATATGTGACTGTTTATCTTTGGACCCAGAAAATGACCCATGCACACATCCGTTTCTACTTCTGCCTTATTACTGCATTCTTATTAGTAACAATACAATCTGTCTATCCACTGACCCAATTTTGGGTACTTAAAAGTGCTTATTCAGAAGTCCTGGGTTCTAGTAACAGCTCTACTTACAATATGTAGCCACTCCAAGGAATGAGAATGACACTTTCAACTTTGAGAATGACAGAATCTACTTTTCCTCCCATAGGATTTCAAGTATAATTTAAGCCCCAACAATTCTCCCTGATATCTGGCTTTCTGATTCGTTCTCTTCTCCTGCTATCATGTATATACACACAAAAGATGGGTAGGATATATAATTTTTTCATCAAATCACTGTTGACACACGTGGGAATGCTTATGAAGAAGCTCCTCAAATGTAAACACCAGAAAGTAGAAATACCGGCAGTGAGAATTGTAGGGACCTGGTATTCGCTGACTGTGGAGAAAACGTTCAATTCATACAGGAATGGACCGACTATTGGCAAGGGGATCCACTTGGTGACAAAACGTCCGCGACGCTGGCGGGACTCGAACCCGCAACCTTTGAATACCTTGCCTCCACACTAGAAGTCCAATGCGCTATCCATTGCACCACAGAGCCTGACAGAATATGGAGCTTGGCTGGCTGCCAAAGACTGTTGATTATTTATTTGCCTATCAATAAATACAATTCGTGGAGAGTTAATCTGTTCCAGTCACCGTGAAAGTTCAAGAAACACAAAAACAAATAAGACAGTGCAAGGGACACGCAATGCCCAACATAAGGGAATTTCTGAGCCTTTCAGTGACTAATGTCATTCGTTGTCATGAAATAAGAAATAGTTTGTCCAGTTTCATTTGGTCTCTCCAAGTCCACTCTCGGGACGGTTGGCTTCGCAAAAATGGAATTTGAGGAACTTCCAGCAAATGACGTTGGGAGATACTGTAAATATGTGGCCACAGCCCCACCACTCCCTTTCCTTCAGTTTGGAGTTCTCTCTTTCGATCTGGGGGCCCTTCTTGCTCGTACTTGTGTTCTTTTTGAAAAAGGTGAGTTCGTTTGTTGTTTTGCCAATGGGCTCATGGAGCAACGCAATCCCACTGTCGCCCTCTCTCTTGAAGGAGAGGACTACAGTTTTTAAATGCGTCCAGGGAGCTTTGGAAAGATCGCAGGTTTTCTAACTCGGGAATTTTCTTTTGGTGACTGCGCTGAGATCAAAAGACGCCTTTTTATTCGCTGCCGCTTTTCTGTGAGACCGTGTGGTCCAGTCGCACTGGCTCATTTAGCGACCGTCGGTCACGTGGGTTGATGTCTTTGAGGACAGAAAGGGATGAATTACAGGTGAGGTCATTAAGGGTGAAACTCAAGTGCAGGAGAGTCCAAGGTTTGTTGACCCGGAGCAGGCGAATGGTTGTGATCCGAGAAACTGGAGGAGGGTTGTGGAAGGAAGAGAAGAAAGCTCAGGCCATTTTATTTCAGAAATGAAAATAATTCTGAAAATTACAAGACAAAACGTGATCCCTGAACCGACTGTCTGCAAAAACGCAAAGCAGAAAAAGGACCAGAGCTGAAGTTTGAGTTGAGTGAAAAAGTTCTTGCAGCCCTAGAGCCTAGGAGCCTGGGTATTGAGGGCCTGCGCGCTCACACCCGCAGACCACTGCCGCATCCTCTCCTCCGGGCCGTGGTTGCTCTCCCAATGCTCGGCTTCTTCCCAGGACCACGCCGCGCATCACTCCCTTAGCTCCTCAGCTCCTTCCGGCAGCCTAAGGACTGGCGAGGTGGAAGGTAGATCTGATCAAGCTTCCTTGACCACAGAGTTTATACTCCAGCCTCTTGTCTTTGAGGACGTGTTGGTTCAAGTCCAAGTTTCGGGAACTGAGGAGACGCGGGCCGGAGCTGAGTGGCACCTCCAGGCAGCCTCAGACTTGGAAATGCTAGTGGGAGAAGGACCCGGAATGAAGGGCACTCGAAAGAATCGGGGTCGTCTGCGTTTGCTTTCACAGCTAACCGGTAACTGACTTTGATAACAGTAAACTGGGTTGCCCTTCCCCTGGCCCAAAGGACTATTCGAAGTCTCAAGTGGGGGGAATGCTGGCTAAGAGTCGGTGGGGAGCTGACCAGCTCCCTTCCTTACTGAAAAGGGGGATTCAGGGACGGTCTCCAGCCCGCTCAGAAGTTCACTTCTCTGCTCCTTAGTGAAGCACGCGAGAACGTACCGAAGAGGGAAGTCCGCGGCCACGGAAGAAAATGCACAATCCCAGAGAGCAAGTTTTCCAAAGAGCCGGCCTTAGCTACATTCTGTCGCGCACAAAGCTTAAAGGACAGGTAGAAACATGTAAATAAAGCTATGCAAAATTAAGTTTTATTATAAATAGGGTTGATTCTGGGTTTAGAGATTATGTGGTTCATGAGAGGAGGATTTTGAGCCAGCTTCCTGTTACTGGGTAACAAGACAGGGACAGTTAATTTAGACTCCCAATCCCCATTCTGGGAATCGAAGTGTGTTGCTAGGATACAAGAAAATACCAACACATTTTCAGATTACAAGGGAAAAGTTTTCTCAAGTCCATATCTCCCAAACTCTCATTCGTAGCTTCTCTTTTCCTCTGCTGTAACAGGAGTAATTATTCCCTTTTTTATAATCTCACAAGATGTTATTTGTTCCTGAAACCATAGCACTTACCAAATACAGTCATTTCAGCTAATTTTAAGCTTGATAACACTTGAATCAGTAATTCGTTTTGTAAAACTCTGTTCTAGGAAATTAATATTAACTGAAGAAAAACATTTGGTGCACAAAAACAATGATGGTACTTCTTAAAAACTGATAACAGTAGCACAGCAGAAATTACATAGCTGTCCAACAAAGGGGAATATTTCATCAATTCTTACTTCATCTGAATAATGGAACATTACAAAGCCACTAAAATAACATTTAGAAAGCTCCTGAAAAAATATTGATATAATATTCAATTAAATTAGTAAAATACACAATTTAGAGAGTTAAAAGCAGCACTTGACATTTGGGAGCTGACCTGGTACTATCAGCTAGGATTTGATGTTCTTTTATCGAACAGAAACAATTTCACAGAGCACCAATGTCAGACAAGGCCATTCTATGACCATGGTTGATCAAGACAAAATTAAGATCACTTTGTAATCCTGCCTGAACACGAACACAAACATGAAACACACACACACACACACTTGCACAAAAGCATTGTTCAAACCATAAAAATGACCCCAAACCTCCTTATCTTGGTAAATACATATGCCAAAAAATGACTAAGGTTTTTTGCCAATCATAGTTTTAGCATTGCTCTATTCTTCCATAGGATTTTAAATCTTAATCCTAAATTTAAGCTATTTAATCACAGAATCACCCCTTACTTCCAGACAACATTTAATCTAAAACAAAGTCCTGATTCTTTAACTCTTTTCCCAAATCGCCCAACACAAGACTAAATTCTTTGAGTACTTTTTAGTACTCTTTTACTAGGATGTACCCATGCTTCCCCACTGTGTTCTCAATTGCTACAAGGAGTTCTATGCCCAACTTTTTCAACTGCATATGTATTCCTGGTGGTTTCTATCTGGAAGATATTGGCACAATTCACATCCTGTATGACTTCAACTATCCACATTTTTCTGCATTCAAAATACTGAGGGAGAGATAAACCAAAGTGCTGCTGTTGCTGGTTTCTCTCCATGTCCCCCCGACCCCCAGTGTGTTAGTCATCATTACCCAAGTTTTCTCAAGAAGGAGAAATTTATTTTACTTGGCACAAGAAAGATGAATTCTCTAAACGTAGACTCAAGGACTTTGAGGTTACTGAATGTTCCCTCAGTAGTATTTGGTTTGAGCAACTGTCTTTTTCAATGCCCTTCACAATCAAGTGGGCCTTGAGTTTGTTTCTTGAATAATTGATGCTAGTTAGAAGTTTGTAGAATCCATGGAGGCGTCTCTCCCCCCATCACCTGCTAATATTTAATTAGACTTTTAAAATTATTTTGTATGCATACTTTGATAAACTAATCTTTTATTTTCATAACAGAAAAACTGTAACTTTAAAAAAACGTTTTAGGAACCCTCATGACACAGGTCTGCCCCAAAAATACTCCTACAGGGACAGAAGATAAAGATTTTAAATATATTTGGCAATCTCTTAATGCAAATGGTTGGGAATTTTCCAAAAATTACCAATGGAAAAACACATTAGAAATGCTCTGAATCTATGAGCACACAGAGTGAGTGATGCACTTGCTTTTCATGAGCAGATTTCTTCTGTTAGTCATGGCATTATTGTTCTTTTCTGGATATAGATAAAAGTAAATTATTTGATATTTAATTAGATCTACCTCTCCCATAAGGCTTTCTCAGTGATATCTGAATTGAATAGAACTCTATTTAAAGAACACTTTGTTACTTCTGGTTAAATATATTGTATTAAATCCAAGCAATTACCTACCAGCTTTCTCAAGATACATCGTATTCATCAGCTCTCACCTCTTACACATTAACAGTTTGTTGGTCATAAAATGGGGACCTATATATGCATCTTGGGATCCAGCATCTGCATTTAACCATTCTATTCTGAATCGATTCTGCAGAGCATCTGGAAATTCTGCTGAAGGAACCAGTGAGTTACAAATGTAAATAGGAGAACGGGAAACGTGCCGTGTGAGTTACATTTAGAGAAAACGAGCCCTTGCATTGCCCCCAAAAAACTGAACCACGTAATCCATTTTTTAGAAAGCAGCTACGATCTCACAGAAAATGAAACTCATGGACCGGCAATGCCTCTTCTTAACGTGTCTGGAAAGTGAAAGCGTATTTGCAACTGCAAAACACTTTCCCAAACACAGTGAGATTAATACTTTGGGCCTAAATTAGGAGCCTAGGAACAACGAGTGAGGGAATCCAGAGGAGATTTTCAACGTCGTTTTTCTCTCCTCCCACCTTAGACACAAATCGGCGGGAGCATTTCCTTCCCTGAAACCCGTTGAGCACAGTATCATTCATCCAGCAGGCTAGAAGTTCCAGCAGAAGGGCTGGTCCCACCACGCCTAAAAGTAGGATTGCGCTGATTTCACCTCGGTGCTGAGTAAATTTGGTTCCTGTTTCGGAGACCACAGAACCCAGCATGAACCCAACTCATCCGCGAGGGAGGCAGGCGCTAGTTGAACTGACCTGAACTTTGAACAAAGATACTTGTACAGCGAGTACACTCATCCCAGTTCTCCTAACTGTCGGGGCTGCCGGAGAGAGTTTGATTCCCCTCCCCAAGCTTTCATTCACCTGAGTGTTTTTGCCCAACTCCCTGCACACACTTTTATCTACAAAGGAGTCTTAGCTTTATATCTACCACCTGTCGTTTTATAATGAGACCTCTTCTTTCCCGCGCCAGTAGTCGTGGCCGAGAGGTTAAGGTGGTGGATTAGAGATACATTAGGGTTTCCCTGCGCAGGTTCGAATCCTGCCGACTACAGTCAAAATTTTAACCTACGGAGAGTGCACCTGCCCCAGCCCGGCAAAAACGTGCTTCCGGCGACAAACAAAGAGAAAACAAATTACTCCCTCAAAAACTTTGCCCTGGTAGAGCCTTACTAATTCCTTGTTC